TTGGGCAGGACCCACAAGGGTCATTGAGTCCAACTCCTGGCCCTGCACAGGACATCCCAGGAATCACACCATGTGCCTGAGAGAATTTTCCAAACGCCTCTTGAGCTCTGTCAGGCTGGTGCTGTGACCACTGCCCTGGGGAGCCTGTTCCAGGGCCCAACCACCCTCTGGGGGCAGAACCTTTTTCTAATATCCAACCTAAACCTCCCCTGACACAACTCCAGGCCATTCCCTCAGTCCTGTCACTGGTCACAAAAGTGAAGAGATTGGTACTTTTGGTGACCTTGAGCTCAACAGCTCTTTCCCAACAGAAAGGATTTTCATGCCAGAAAGGTTATGATCATCTTGACCTCCACAGCAACAAAAGCCAAGAAATTTTATAATGTGAGCTTTGCTTTGAGTCCATAACTTGAGGGATGACTTAGATCACAGGATTTAGAAAAGCCATTGAATCTTAATTTAGAAATTGGGAAATAGAGCTTAGTGAGTCTTTAGGGATAATATCAAATTACTCTTCTTGTGGCTAAAAGAGAAGGATGTTACTCTACATGAGTATAATTTCACCTGCCATTTATTGGTTCTCACTGTCATCTTAGCTGACAGATTAAAGGGACTTTTAATATTTGAAATTCTCTTATAAATCCTAGTACATTATGATCAAGGTTTTGTATAAGCTAGACAGATGCTTCTTCATTCTCTTGCTGCAAGGCAGATTTTCCTGGCTTTTCCAGTTTGTCAATCATTTGTGTTAAAATGCAATCCCACTATTCCAGTAAAAGTTTGATGAATGCCATATATAACATCATCATTACTTCTTCTTAATATTCCTTCACTTTTAAATCCAAAGTTTGTACTATAAGCATGAATCTTCTTGAGTTGTTCATAACCACACCACAACACTTCTATAATTTGACTTTTAAATATTCTTTGTACTTAGATGACTTTCTTTCCTGTAAATATTTATATCTGCATCTATTTTTTTTTTCTCAGATAAAGCTACATAGCAAGTTTTTGTATAAATATATTTTTAATAGAATATTAGCATTCAATAGAATATACTTAATGTCTTCATAGGAACTCATAATTATACAGTGACCCTTCCCAGGTAAAATACTAATCCCATTAAGCAACAGGCCTAAATTTCAGCAAATCATGTTGATATTAGAAACTCAATAATTCTTTAATTTCTACATGTGATTCTTACTTTTGACTTTCAAGATTTTGCCAAAGAGTCTCATCATGTTATTTTAGCTTCAAACCCCCTTTGCTTTACACTTCTAAATGGACACCAAGTCAGTTTCTCTTCTTCATTCTGGAAAAAACACAGGTTGATTTTACCATGAATGATTTAGAATCCCATAAAATTCTGTGCCATAACTTAGTTGGTCTTGAAAGTTTAAATGTTCTAACCTTCACCAGTTGCTCTTTAGCATCCTTACTAAGTGCTGATTGAATAAAACTTTTGCAATTACATCCATGAAGTATTACTGCATTACCCAGGTTTCTATTAAAAAACAAATGCTTTTATGCATTGGCATTGTTACTGAAAGTTGTGTATTCCAAAGCAGCAGGGAAATTGTGTCATTGTCTAGATTTTTTTTCTTTTTTGATCGTGATGTTTTAAAAAAAATTATTCCCCTTGCCCTTTAGGCAATGATCCAAGATTTTTCATTCCTATATTTAGCTACTATTAGTCATTCTCATTGTTTCACAGCTGTAATTTACCATTTCTGTTTACCAGCTTTCATATTTTCCTTTTGTTTTATACACAGAATTGTCACTTTCTTTTTTTTTTCTTTAACTGAATGTGTTTAGCTGAAAAGAAACTCTGATGATTGTCATAACCTAATTTTTTTGGTATTCTGTATGGTTTTCTTAAGTAAACTATCCTTTACCAATTTTCCTACATATCTCTACCTATACAGGTGTCATTCAGTTTTTTCAGACTTGGAACACTGTCTTTTTTCCAGGAAAATACATAAAACATATGATCATTATTTACAGATAACAAACACAGTTAAATTATGCAAACATAGTTAAATTATGCCATTTTACATTCAAGCAACGGTTAAAATATCTAGATTAAACTGGTTTTATATTGGTCAGAATTGTCAGAATTTAACCTGAGAACCTGAGAGCTCTGAAAAAAACAAATTATTTAATTTTAGAAAATAATCATCTATTATTTATATAAAATCTAGGGCATGTTTACTTGTGGAGGTTGGATATCTAGACATATCCTACAGATTGAGATACAAAAATTAAAAAGATGATCATAAGATAACTCATTCTAGCTAAATGTTTACATAACTGCTGATCCAGTTGTGTATTCAGATAATCTCTCTCACCAATATGTAATTTTCTGGTTTATCAGCCTAAACATTGACTCATAAACACACCAGGCCTTGGACTTGTGATAACAGAAACTCTAGTGATCTTTACTGAGCCTGGCAAGTCCCACTCTCTGCACATTATATCTTTCTTAAGGTATAAACTAGTTGGAACACTCAAGTTGTGACAGACATCCTAGTAAAAAATCCCAGCTCATGCATTTGAATAAATAATAAATAAATGAGTCTTTGCTGCAGGTCTGCAGAGTATCTGTAGCAAAGATCCTTCAAGGACAAGAACTCTGTGTAAGATACATATTTGTGTGTTTGAACATTTTTTATCCTCTGTCTTTCTGAAGGAATTACCTCAATTACTTGGAATCTTATTAGTTACAGATGTATCTGTGAAGCAGCCAAAAAAGTAGGCCCTTTATCCAGCAGTGTGTGCATCCTCATACATAAACACTTTGTGCTATTTTTTGTCCACCTGAAAGCCCCCTTGCCCCTTGTCCACAGCACTCAGTCCCTCAGTCCCTCCCTCCCTCAGTGGTAAGCTGTATATTCAGTGTTGTTGAGAAGTGTTGTTAGTTTATATAAAAAGGTGCTTAAGAAGATAAAGGTGCACAAGCTCTAATGCTCTCAAATGCTCCAGGCATTTAAATGTGTCTAATGCCTGCATACCTTCCAGCAGTGCTGCCAGCCAGGCTCTCAGCAGGAACTCGTGGTAATTAAACATGCTAGAGGCATCCACACTTTTACAGAACCACAGAATCAAATTCTTAGGGGTGGAAAGGCCTTCTGGAGATCATCTAATCCACCCCCCCTGCCAAGGCAGGGTCACCCGGAGCAGGTGACCTCCCTGGGAAGCCTGTTCCAGTGGTCTGCCACCCGCAATGGAAAGAAGTTCTCCCTTATCTTAAGGTGGAAATTCTTGTGTTTATGGCCATTGCTCCTCATCCTGTCACTGAGCACCATGAAGTGTCTGGCACTATCCTTTTGAGACCTGCATTTGAGACATTTATATGCATTAATGCAATTAATATTCAGTCTTCTCTTCTCTAGACCAAACACGCCAAGCTCCTTTACTCTCTCCTCCTGAGGAATGCTCCAGAGCCCTCATCACCTTTGCAGTCCTTACTCAAATAAGGACATGTGCAACTTTACCTACAAACAGATACAATTTGTGAGGGCAAAAAAACTAAAAAGGAAAGCCTCAGAAAAAAAGCTGGATGCATGAGCAGCACACATGCTCATACCACAAAACATTTCCCAAAGTTTTGGACTCTTTCACTTATACAGCTCCATGTGCACGTTTGTCTATGGGTACAGAATAACGTAATGGACAAGGTTGGAGGGGACAAAGTTGGAAGGGACCACAGTGGGGTGTCTGGCCCGACCTCCCTGCTCAAGCTGGGTCATCCCAAGCACAGGGCTGTGTCCAGGAGGTTCTTGAATCTCCCATGAATGAGAATCTTTAGTCTCTCTGGGCAACCTTTTCCAGTGCTCAGTCACTCTCATAGTAAAGAAGTTTTTCCTTATATTCAAGTGGAATTTCCTATGCATCAGTCTCTGCCCGCTGCCTCTTGTCCTGCTGCTCAGCACCAGTTTGCAGAGCCTGGCTCCATCCTTTGGCACCCTCCCTTCGACACTGATAGACGTTCATGAGGTCCTGTCTCAGTCTTCTCTTCTCGCGGCTGAGCAGGCCCAGCTCCCTCAGCCTGTTCTCACACCAGAGATGCTCCAGTCCCTCATATCTTTGTTTCCCGCCGCTGGACCCGCTCCAAGACTCCCCTGCCCCGTACTGGACACAGCACTGCAGATGCGGCTGCACCAGGCCTGAGTAGAGGGCAGGATGCCTCCCTCCCCCAGGCAGGTACAACCAGCAGTAGCAGCAGCAGCGCGGGCAGGCAGCCCCGGCCGAGGCACCGCCACAGAGGAGCCGCCGCTGCCGCTCCCGCCGGGGCGGGGCCGCTCGCAGGCGGCAACTTCCGGCTCGCCCCGGCCCCGCCCCGCCGCAGCCCCGGCTCCGCGCCGGGCCAATGGGGGCGCGGAGCCGCAGCCGGGCAGGTAACCCGGCAGCCAATCAGAAGGGCGCTGCGGGAACAGGTGGGCACGGCGAGGCCCCGCCCCCCGCCCCGCTGGCGGCCGCGCCAATCGGGGCAGGGAGGGAAGCGGGGAGGGAGGGGCTGCCCGCGGCTCTCGGCGGCGGCAGCGGCGGCGGGGCTGCGCTCCCTGCCTGCCCTGCCCGCCCCCGACGGCCAGCCCCGGCTGTCCGGCTCCCCGGCTCCCCGTCCGTCCGCCTGTCCGTCCGTCTGGCGGCCACGCCGGGAGGGCTGAGGCGGCCCCGCGCCGAGGGAGGGAGGGAGCGCGAAGGCAGCAGCCATGGCACTCGTGGCTCCAGAGACTCGGAAGTTCACGCGGGCGCTGAGCAAGCCCGGCACGGCGGCCGAGCTGCGGCAGAGCGTCTCCGAGGTGGTGCGCGGCTCCGTCCTCCTGGTGAGTGCGGCGGCGGCCCAGGCGGGGCTCCGGCCCGGGCCTGGCAGGGCTGCGGCGGCGGCCCCCGGGAGCAGACGGGCCCTTTGATCCTCGCCGGGCTGTCACGGCGGCGGGCGGGCTCTGATCCCTCTGCGGCGGGCCGAGGTGCGGGGCGGGCGCTGCCGGCCGCGGAGGATGCGGCTCCCGGCGGGCACGGCCGGGCGCTCCCGCCGCTCCCCGCAAACTTCACCTGTGGAACGGGCGGGAGCGCCCGGCCTGACGGGACACGGCCGCTTTCGCGTGTGTCGAAATTGCGGCGCGAAAGTGATTTTTCATCTCGCTGCTCTCTTTACAACTAAGATGCAGTTTTTCGTTGTGTTCGTGCGGAATGTAAGGTGAGCGCTGGCAAGTGCAGCAGGGATGTTTTGGTGTGTTGTTTATCCCGCTGTCCTGTACCCTGCTCGCACATGGTTGCTGCTCCCCTCAGTGCACAGTTGGGCGCGTTCATTTAATTGAAATACTGAAAGTGAATTTGTGTAAGTAGTTGTCTAAACCGGGTGTTTCAGTTTAGAGATGGCTGAGAGGGTATCTTATCTGTGCATATAAATATCTCAAAGGCAGGTGTCAAGAGGATGGTGCCAAACTGTTTTCAGTGGTGTGCAGTAAAAGGACAAGGAGCAATGGCCGTAGACACAAGAATTTCCACCTCATGATGAGGGAGAACTTCTTTCCATTGAGGGTGGCAGACCACTGGAACAGGCTTCCCAGGGAGCTCATGGAGTTTCCCTCTCTGGAGACATTTGAAACCCACTTGGATGTGTTGCTGTGTCACCTGCTGCAGGTGACCTGCTTTGGCAGGGGGTTTGGACTAGATGATCTCCGGGAGCCCTTTCCAACCCTAAGAATTTAATTCTGTCAGATGCTGTACTGAGGCAGCAGGTGATGACATCTTAAACAGCCTCAGTAAGACTTTCCAGGGTTTCTCTCCTGGGACTCTTATTCATGGTATGCATTTGTTTTCTTTGTGGTTTTGTTATCTCCAAGGGGAATGTTTCAGTAAGCATTTAACTCTGCGAAAGTGAAGAAGTTTTGGTGCTGGCATTCCTGATACTGGAAGCTGATCTGTCCTTTTTTCTTAGCTCTTGCTAAGTATGAGCTTGTCTTTTTTTAAACCTCCTGTTGGGACAGTGTCTTGTCACAGCGGTGTGTTTTGAGAGTAACAAATGCTGTAGCTGTGATTGAAAGACAAATACCTTTTTTTTAAAAGACAATGGCTCTAAAACGAAATTGCCCTTTACTCATCTATGCATCACAGAATTTATAAAATATGCAGAGTTCGGAGTCTTCCTGGATACTGACATCTTTCCACAAGGTGCTAGCACATTTACATGGAGCGAGCATCCAAATATGTTAACACTTCTCCAGGGATCAAGTACTTTTTGGCAAGTGTGGAAAAAGAATATATGCATTTTAAAATATTTTTCGTTTTGGGGGGGCACAAAAAATATTTAGGTATTTTCATGACCTAATTTTTTTTTTTTGCAGTAGTTTGCAACCCTGCTATTCCCTCCTCTGCCTTTAGAAGGTTTTTCCTTTGTTCACTCATGACTAGTGTCAGTGAGTTGGAAAATATTTATGTGCATCTTTAATTAATTCAGGTTGACCATAATAATGGTGAACCTGCATTAATTAGATTATTAAGTACGTAATAGGGTGATAGGCACATTAGTGCGTGGTGTTTTTATGCTGTCACAACAGCATGTTCTGCAGAACTTTATGGAGATTAAAGAATTGATGGTGCAGAGTGATGTACTGTCTTAAGCTTATCCTGGATAAGGTCTTCATCAGCATTTTAGAGAGCAGAAGGGGTGACTTAACATTCATGTCAGGTTTTTGATCCTTTTATGTTAGCTTGATGCATGAAGCTGAATCCCCATCTCCCTCACATACAGTCTTGTGCTGAAGTTCACCTTCCTATTTCAGCAGTATTTTGCCCAGGCTGCTATGTCTCTCTTACTATCAGTGCTGTTCTTTTTATCACTGAACTCCAATGTTCTTGTCCACACACTGTTTAAATAATGAAGTAAAAGGCTAGTAATTGCAAGTTTACATTTACATTTTTTTTTCTCCTGTTAATATACTGTAACTCTTTTTGTTGAACATTGATGTTTGGAATGAAATAGTACTTTTTTAAAGGAGAAATTTTGATGGGATAGTATTGATTTTTGCTATAGAAGACTTAAAAAAAACTTTGCATCTCTAAGTTTGACAGATTGACTGTTTCTTATCTGTTGGAGGTTCTGGGCTTTGTTATCTGAACAATCTCTTAGACTGACCTGGTGAAAATACGAGTCTTACCAGTGTTAGAGTAGTTGTGGAATGCTCTGTTCAGATGTGGGACTTTAAAGTAAAGGAGACCCACTTTCCTTCCAAAGCTGCTTCTCACAGCTCTTTGATAAAGCACTTTCCCAGGATTTTTTCAACTGAGTTGTCAACAAATTGTCTTGCTTAAAACATAGTTGAGCACTGGTTACTAAAAGGATCTTACTGTCATCACTTGCCCATGAGCAAGTGCTGAGGTTTTCCACTACTGAAAAACTGCTGTTGGCCATTGACTAGTGGTGCAGTGTAGAATCTGGAGGTAGGAAGGAATTCTTTCCATCTAGTAGTTCATGGTGGATGATCTGTCCAGATCTTTACAACCAGCTATTACTTTGGACTGTACATCCCTGCAGCAGAATGTACTGAGCAGTGATGCAAAACATGCAGTCATTACTTGCAGTAGCAGATAAATGGGAGCTACGAATATTTCTGAGCTTGAGTAGATTCTATAAGTTGCTATTGTGGCTACTGTTTAACAGTTCCATCCATTTTTACAATCAACAATGTGTGGCTAGATTAAAAAGGGAAAAGAAAAGCTTTGCCCATATTTAATGGGGTTTATTAGATCATATTACTAAAATATGCTTTTTTTTTCCATTTTATTACTGTCCTTGAGATTATATTGATGAAAGAGAACTGAAAACAGCATGTCACCAGGATAGTGTTGTATATCTTAAATTTTCAGATAGCTCTTCATTGGATCTGAAAGTCAGAGACTTTCAGCCAGCTGACAGACTAAATAACTTGACTGTGTAGTAAAAAAACATGAAGCAGATGTGGTTTGCCAAGCTAGTTTTCATCACAGAATGAAGCAAGCTGTCTTGTCAGCATTTGACATCTCATACGTTCTCTCTGTTGGATATAGTTTGCTGAACCAACAAGTACAGTTTGGTTGGCTGAAAGGAAATCTTGTTATTTGGCAATCAGCTTTTCACTGTGTTGTAAGGCACATCATGTATTTCTTGATTATTTGGATTCAGTTTTTATATTTTCTCCTTGACAGTAGCATCCTTGCTGAATATCCTCTTGTGCATTGTTGATGTTGTTTTGACTTCAGATCTGTCATGTGACTCAATTTGATGCCTCTGGCCACCCAAATACATTTATGTCTGAGAGGGAAGATTATGGGGATGACAAGTGTGTCTCTTAAACCAGCAATCTTGCCAAGAGCAGTTTTCAATGCAGTTTTAGTATTATGCATAATTGAAAGTGATGTCTTTAAGTGATGATGAGTTACTCAAAGCATGGTGCATACAGATCAGTGTCTCGTTCAGTAGTATGTTAATGATAACTCATCTCAGAGACAAAATTACTCTACATTAGGGTTATTTATAATAATATACCTATATTAAAGCTGGCATTTAAGGATAATAAGCAATTAAGATAATGTTTGGCCTATGAAATTTGATCTGCTTTTGCCTAGCTGTGAATAAAATGCCTTTGTCAAATATGCAGATAATGAAAATGATTAAATATGCCAAATAATGCAGCAAAAGTTGTTTCCCCCATGTCAAAATTAATATTATTCAGAAGAAATTTGCGATATGGGAAATAGGATGAAATCTGAGAGATTACCCAAATTGCTCTATACAGTTCTTCTTTTTGATTTGGATATGTAAAATAGGTTTTAATTATTTATAGGCTAGAACTGTATCTTAAGAGAGTCTTGATTTTCATACATTAAGTTCAGATACCTGATGGAGCTGTTGAGTTCTAAAACTCTTCCAGAAATTCAGCTTTTCAGATATGGTAGAAAATCAGTGTATCACAAAGGCAATGCTTGGACCTCCTACTGAGTCTTTGATCTCAAATTCATTGGTATTCCTTCTTTTCTTTATAAGATAATTATGTCAACTTGGTCCTTCCAGTCCTGATCTCTGCTTCCTGTGAATCTCAACTCCATAAGAAAAGATGATGAGGTGCACTCTATGCTGTATTATTGCCAAGTTTTTAATGCAGTGTTTCCCCAAAAATGGGGAGGATTATGGGAGGAGGATGTAGTATTTATTTTGTGTTGGCACTTTCCTTTCTGATTCCTGTATAATTTCATATGCTGTGTGCACAGAGGGCTTGTGTGCTTCTCTCCACAGCAGCTTCTCTGTATGTGATGAACAGAGTATTTGGATCCTCATTGAGTGCCAGATTTCAGTTGTAGTGTGTCTAGAAAAGAGGGTTGATGGCTTCCTTTAGCCAAGTAGGAATTCAAAAGTGGTATGTAATGCTAAAGGGATGAGGAAGGACTGGGATCTTTTAGAGCTGATGGGTACAGAAAAGCTGGAAACATGGGTGAAGCTTGATCTTTCTGTATGTTGAATTGTACGCATAAAGAATTTGGAAGCAGCAAATTGTTATGAATGGATGAGTGAAAGCAGGGAGATGTGAACTGATGCTCAAGATTTTAAAGGAAAAATCGTTGCTGGCAATGAACATCACCATAACATATTTCATCTTGTAGGAACGTGCTAAAAATGGTAATGCTCATTCAGTCACTCTGAACTGCTGAACTTAGTTTACCTGGGGGAAAAAGCCTAATACTTGACCCTAAGTTATTTTAGTTTATGGTACATACTGCTTACCTTTTGTAAAGGAAATAAAAATTCTCAGAGAATAAGGTATTTTTAATAAAGTGCTAATTTTATTTTTGCAAAGTGCAATATATAAATCTTTTTGATTGGATAGAAGGTAGTAGTTAGAACACTTATTTCTGGAAAGTCTGATACTGCAAAAGGGACTCACTGGGTGTGATGGACATTTCTGTGGTTGTAAAGATTCAGAGGCTGGACTAAAATTTCTGTTAAGAAATACTGTTAAACTTATTTGAATCTTAAAGTTCTTGCTCAGAAAGGCAATTTGAGAGACAAAATATAGGACAGTTGAGTTTCTATGTGAACAGGTAGATGTTTAAACTTTCAACAACATTAGATCATTCTTGTAAGGTGCATTTTCTTTATTATTTTCTGGAATTTTTTTCTTTCCTGCTAGACAAGGATAATTATGTTTAAGATAGA